GTGCTCCTGGGATGGGCCAGAGGGAGAGGCTGAGGTGGCAGTGAGACCACCAGAACAGTGTCACATTAGTGCAGGAGGAGGTGACAAGCCTCGACCAGGAGGAAAGGGAGATGGACAGAGAGAAACTGGTTTCAAAACTCTTTAAGAGACCAGTCAGAGGACCCGGTGACAGACACAGGCGCATGGCACTGTCAGGAACACTTCAAGTAACAAAAACCCCCACAAATGTGAGGGGCTTGTTTGTTTCACACCCAAAGTCAGAAGATGGAAGGTGGGTTGGAATGAGCACAGCCCTGGGATGCCATCCCTCCACCTGGAAATCCTCACTGAGTGGTTCTTTGCCCTCAGGCGTGTGGCCTCTGGGTCACAAGATGGCTGCTGTACCTCCAGCCTTCATTCTAGGCAGGGAAGGAAGCAAGGACCTTTGTCTTGAGGAAGCTTTGGCTTTTTGTTTGGGAAGGGATGTCCTCCTTTATCTTATTGGCCAGGACTGTATCATAAGGCCCCCACATAGCTGCAAGGAAGGCCCAGTGACCTTAGTGGAGTTCTTCAGTAACCTGAAAACAAATCTGTTTGGTTAGAGAAGAGAAACAGTTGAGTATTGGCTGAGTACCCAGCAGTGTCTGCCCCTGGGGGGTGTGGGACACAGGAGATGTCTAGGGGATACCCCAGGTTTGACAAGCCCAGCTTAGAGGCACATACACAGGTACCCATGCACATCCAGAGAAGATGGGAAATAGATGCACCCACCCAAAGCTTGAGTGAGCACACTCATCTGAAGCCATAGATTTGGAGTCGCCGGCTCCTAATGAGGATGACCATACAGAAGTTCCAGACCATTCCTGACTCCACCCTACAGAAGCTACCCACCCTCCAGAACTGCCAAAGTAAGAATGGCAGTGTTGCACGAGGCTTCCAGAGGAAAGAATCCCTTTTTCCTTAGTTCTGGGTGGTTCTGTGTATGAGCCCTGGCTTACCCTCAGCTTCTCATCTCCCTGGGAAGGGAGCTGTGCCTCCTTCCTGGTGGCCACCTGCAGTTCACACAGAGCAAGCTACCTCGGAGATGTGAGATGAACACTGGGGGTTGACAGGCTGTGGGGCCAGGGATGGGCTGCCCTGGGACTCCAACAAAGCCTTTCCTTTAGCAAGACTCGATGTCCCTCTTTGCCACTGTGCATTGACCTTGGCTGACTGGGAGAAAGCATAGTCTCCCCATCTCCCGCCTCAGCCGGGGTCCTCATCTGTAATCAGGGGCTGTCAGGAAGGCATTCCTTGCTTGTTAATTATCCTTTTTAATTACGCTGAGAAACACCTTTCCTCAGCGATTTGCTCTTCCGCAGCCAGAGCGGGGCCTGGGATGCCACTGGTGGTAGTTTGCCGTGTCCACCAGGCCCACAGCAGCCCCTCCTGGGAGCCCCGGCCCGGCAGGTTGTCTTGACTGCCTTCCCCTGCCCAGCCTCACAGACCATTAGTGGCTGCTGAAAAAGGAGCTTCTCTTTAAAATTTTTTAAATGTTTTTATTTATTTTTGAGACAGAGAGAGACAGAGCGCAAGCAAGGGAGGGGCAGAGAGAGAGAGGTAGACACAGAATCCGAAGCAGCCTCCAGGCTCTGAGCTGTCAGCACAGAGCCCAAAGAGGGGCTCAAACCCACAAACTGTGAGATCATGACCTGAGCTGAAGTCAGAAGCCCAACCGACTGAGTCACCCAGGCACCCCAGGAGCTTTTCTTACAGGAGAGCATTTCTCAGCTCCTCAGCAGTCCCGCCTGGAAACCTCTTCCTCCCTCCTGACATTGGTGATCAGCCCCCCACCCCAGCCCCGCCCCGGCCGGGGCCCGCGACCTGCCTCCTCTACGCACGTCCCCCCCCCCCCCCGCCTACACCCTAGTGCTCTCATCTCTTCCCTGGCCCCAGTCTCCACCTCAGTGCCCCTCAGTCTTGACCTCTCTCCTGAGCTCCGGGCCCTCCAGTGAGAGCCTGAACCCCCACACGCCTCTGCAACCACCCCCCTCCTCTTGCCCAGACTTGCCTCCTCTTCTACTTGCTTCTCCCTGCCTGAGAAGAGCCTCCCTCGCATCAGCTCCTGGGGACACCCATCACCTTGACAGGCTCAGGGGAGACTCCTCCTCCCATGTGCCTCCAGGCGCTAGCTCCTTTTTGTCTCCAGAGCCTTGAACTCACAACCATGACAGCCCCTGCTGTGGTCCTACCTGTTCTTGCCTGCTTCCCCCCCCCACCCCGCCCCCACTCCCCAACTGCTGCGAACTGTGAGGGCATCAGGGTGGGAATAACACCTGAATCTTCTCTGTAATCTCAGTGACTGTGTGGGAACTGGCTGAGTGAATGAATGAATGAATGAATGAATGAGCAAGTGAATGAATGTTCAGGAGACTGGATCTGTACACCTCTCTCCCGTATAGATACAACCACATATGCTGAAGAATGTTGCACACTGTCTACACCATCTCCCATGGCAGGACAAGTTCTGGGCTGGGGGTGAGATGACTTCCTCCTGGAACATGGAAGAACATCCCCACATGGGTTATGTTCCCTGGTCACACCTGACCCTTTTGAGGTCAGCCTTAGTTAGGCTGCATGGAGTGAGTAAAGTAAGGGTCTCCCAAGTCTCACACACACACACACACACACACACACTCACACTCACAAACACACACATGTAGCCTCTATCCAGTCACATTCCCTGATCTCGTGGCCTTTTCTGGAAGACACCATGCAGTGCACATTCACTGGTTTGGGCTCTTACAACTCATCCCCCTTCTCCTTGGAAGCCACGCCCCAAATTTGCGTTCAGGTGTCCACCCTCCTCCACTCAGCCCAGTCCCACCTCCCACCTGTAATTTTGAGGCCAATTAGAGGCCTGTCCCCAGCCACAGAAACTGGCTCAACACTGGGGACCCAGGCCAATGAGACAAAAGGAGATTTGCTGAGGGGCTCCCGGGAAGGAAGACTCGTGCCTCTCTATAGAAGTCTCTTCTGCACACTGCAGTGCACAGACATCACACCTGGAACTGTTGGGGAACCTGTCCAAAGATAAGCCAGCGCCCAGGGAACAGGGGACCCCAAAGCTTCGTGGAGGGCTGAGCTGTAGCCTGGGCACCCACCTACTTTGGATGCTAAGAACACCCGGCCGAGGCTTTCTGAGCAAATGAACCCAATGTTCTGTCACAGTGTCCCAGTTCAGACCTGGTGTTTGGGACTGAGTGACACTAAGGGAGCGAATACTTAAATTCCCAGAGGCAGAACCAAGGGTGTCAGGGCGAGTGGACCAAGAAAAGCAATGCCAGTGTGGTTACCAAACCCAACCAAGAATGAGAAGCAAGAGACCAGCCAGAGCTGGCCAGTGTCTGAGTCACTGGGAAGGGGTTGGGAGCTGGCAGAAGGGAGAGGAATCCAGGAGGGTTTCCCTGAGATGGGCCAGGGCCTTCCGGGACAGCCTGGTGACTGTGTGCGCACAGTCTGTGGCCTTGGGCATAGAAAGGGAGGGACCATTAGCATCGACAAGGTGTGCGCTGCTCGGCTCTGAATTTCCAATTTCTCTCAGGTGGACATAAACCTGGTAGCGTCCCAGCTCCCACTTAGCCCCGCTCAGTCTTCAGGCCAACTGCCCACCCACTTGGACAGGGGCACTGCACCCAGGCTCCCGGCCTCTGGGAGCTCTCTCTGCAGGTTCAGCTTCCTCCCACTGCCCGCAGGGAGCTCCCTGCAGACCCCACCCCTGTGATACAGAGGAGGGCTTTTCCTGACAAATTTAGCCCAGGTGCAGGGGGCAGGACCCCCTTGAGGGTCAGGGGGTGTTGCTTAAAGCCACCATTTGAGACATCCATGAATCTCATGTTGTGATAAACCTAAGACAAACGCTTTCTCCTGCATAATGTTTCAGTGTTTCATCATGAAATAAAAATGAAGACTCTCGTGGCACACCCCCAGGCCCCAGGGCGCACACCCCAGGTTCTCAAGCACAGTGCAGCTGACCAAGTCTGGGCTTCAGGCCTGGCTCCACCAGCAATTGCTGTCAATGTGGAAGGGACGAACAAATGAAAAGCTAAAGCTTTTGAAGCGGGGGTAACTGACAGGAAATGAGCCTCCCTGTGCTCATAGAAACTATGGTTGGCAGGGCCCACACTGTGAACCACAGACGGGGCAGGGCCACAGCAGCGACGATGCCACCACCTGAAGCACAGCTCAAGGGTGTTACCCAAAAATAAATCTAAGACTCTGACGTTCGTCTCCTTCCCTGGCTTTTTACCACCATACAGATTTCTGCAGAGACAAGTCCCTTGCACCTGGAGGTCCAGCTGGTCCCTAGGCCCATGAGCACAGCTCCGGTGGCTGCTGGGAGGGACCCAGGCCACCACAGGCATGTGTCACAGGCTTCTCAGGGCAGCCCAAGTCTACCGAGGAGCTGAAGAACAGGGCTGCATGCAATGGGGACCTTCCTATTGGAAAGGGAGGCAGGTGGCACAAAGGAGCAGTTGGGTGGGCTGACTTGTCTTTACCGCCACCAGGCTCAGACCTTCCCACGCACCCGGGGCCAAATGTTCGGGTTCAGAACCTAGTCCCACTGCTGATCAGCAAGCAACTGAACCTCCCTGGGCCTCAGTTTCCTCATCTGGGAAATGGAGTCTCTGGCACCTGACCTCCGAGTTCTCACATGTATTAAATTAATAAATAAGGCGGCAGGCAACTGAGTCTTCAAGCCCCCGATCTCCTATATCCCAACCAACCACCACTAAAAACGCTAGGGGGCAGGGGCTGAAGCACTCTGCAGGGTCCAGACCCAGAAGAGCTCTAAAGGAAGTGTTGTCAGGCACACCGTAGCTGCTGGGGCCACAGCCAGAATGCAGCCTCCGGCCCAGCAGCACCTGCCCTGGCAGCAGGTTAAGGGGGGTGGACTGTCCCAGTAGAAAAAGCCACCGATAATCACGGTTCCATTGCACTGCAGACAGAAACAGAGGGAGAACAAATACAACGAACACACATTTTCTGAGGGTTTTTGTTCAGTTTGTTTCATTTCGTTTTGAACACTAAGGTTTATTTTCAAACAGCACACAGACGGTCTGCGGGGCAGGGCCAGGCCAGCCTGATGTCTGGGCCCCCAGGTCTCTGGAGAGACCCGACCCCACCCACAGCAGCTGCCAGGAGAAAGAGGACACTTGCCCAGACTGCTTGGCCCGAAGCTTCAGGCAAGCGAGGCGGCTCAGCGGCCCCCAGGCCCCGGCCCTACGGCCAGGCACACATGCGGGCGCGGTGGGAGATGGGGGCGGCCAGGAACTCAACTAGGGGACACGGCAGCTTCAAGAACACTGGTGATGCCACTGGGCTCGCCGACACCAGACTCTTTGGAACACAACCTAATCCCTGGGAGAACACCTCTTGGCTTAGGTCTCTCTCTCGATTTCCCTTCGCTTTTCAAAAGTTCAAAAACAAAATCAGGAAAAAAAAGAGAGAGAGAGAAGAAAGAAAGAAAGAAAGAAAGAAAGAAAGACAGACACACACATTTTTTGGGAAAAGGTGTTCTCCACACGCCCAGACGGCTGCAGCAGCTGCTGCCCTCACTGAACCCGCTCGGTGAAGTTCTCGGGGAAGACGCCCCGACATTTCTCCAGCTCTAGGTGCTGGTTCCAGTCACTCTCCTTCACGCCCATGAGCCAGCCTTCATCCTGAGAGCAAAACAGGGCACCCAGGTCACGCAGGGATGGGGACGGAGGGCACTCAAACCCTACAGGCCATGGGGCTCACTTAGGATCTGCTGGGAGGATGTCCCCTCCTCTGCCTGATCATTTCCTCTAGCCTGTCACACCCAACCTGAAAGAATGCCTCCTCCAGGCAGCATTCCTTGCCATCCCAGACCCAAACCTGCCCAAGCCAGGAGACATCCGCCCTTCAGCATGTGGATTTAACTGTCATTGGGGTGAGTTCTCCTCTCTCTACAAAGGCAACCTAACTGCTGTGCTGGTCTGAATGTGTCTAAAATCCCTCAATCCCAGGCCAAGGAGTTTCTCACTGTCTGGTGCTCACAGAGCACATTGGCTGTCCTTCCAGACTTCTACAAACAATACCAGAAGTTTCTGGTGAGCACTGACCAGTTAAACGCACCTCAAGTGACCCAAGGCCACCCCATCAAGTCCTCAGACTCAAACCTGGCCTTTGCTTTCATACTGACCCCTCACAGGGACCATCTACCCAAGTCCTGGCAGTGTTCCCAGCCCCAGACCCCGATCCCTAGGTCCACAGGGGCCATACACCTCTGGCCATGGCAGATGCCATCACTGACCTTGCTCTGCCTGGGACCTCCCTAGGCCTTTGTAACGTCATTACCTGCCTGTCACAGAGCCTATGTATGCCCTTTTTGAGCCTCATCCACCCACCCACATGACCCCCACTGTGGGCTGGGGGCCAGGACTCCACTTAAAATCCCGCCTAGCCCAGGGCTGGCCCCCAGAAGACCAGTGGAGACCCAAGGGTTGAAGGAAGCTGTTAGATTTAGCACTGGGCCCAGGAAACCCTCGGCACTCAAACCTCCTGGCCCGAACCCGAGCAGTCTGTCAGAATGTAGAGGGCAGTCCCCGCTCTGTGCCAGCCCCAGTCTCGGCTGGAGCTCACTGTGACATTAACTAACCAGGAGAAGCCACAGCAAAGGGAGGGTCTGGGAGGTATCTGGCCTGGGAAACAGCTGGGGACACAGTTGAGGGTGTTCAGGGGGGCCTGCTGGAACCCACACACTGTGCCTGTGGGCAGAGGGCAAGGCCAGCCTGGAGGAGGCGGCCCAATGTGACGCTGCAGAGTGGGCACCTCGCCAGCTCACTGCCGGGCAGGAGGGCTCACAGAGGGGTGGCCAGGGATCCTGTCCCAGGAGAGAGGAGGCCGTGGAGGACAGGGGCAGGGGAGGGAGGAGGGGAGAAAGAAAGCCACTTGGATGCAAAAAACTGAGAGAAAGGAAGAGCCCAGGAAGAAGGAGAGCTGACCGAGGAAAGAGAGAGAGAAGACCGGGGTAGGGGATGTGATGGCCCAGGAAAGGGGCCAAAGGGAAGGGAGAGAGAGTGGGGGAGGTGAAGGGAGGGGAAAACGAGTCAGGGGAGAAGGGCACAGAGACAGAGAGAAGGAGCTAGCAGGAGGAGGGAAGAGCAGCCGGCGCTGTGCCTGCAGGTCTGTAGCTGGCATGTCTCTGCTGCCCCCTGCTGGCCACTCCCGCCTCAGCCAGCCAGGGCCCTCACCTGCTCCTCAGGGTTCTGGAAGGGGATCACCAGTACCACATCACCAGCCTTGAGCTGCAGCTCATCCGTGTCGGTGGCCACGTAGTCGTGCTGGGCCTGTACCTGCAGAGGTTGGGGAACAGCTCAACACCCCTTCCCGCAGAAGCCTTTGGTCCCCCCCTGCAACCTAGCACAGTGCACCAGGCCTTGTGGGGGCTTCAGCGTGCTGACAGGAGACCCTGAAAGCTCAAGACGCCACCCCGCCCACTGGGTAGCAGGGGGAGTGGGGGCAGGGGAACTCTGGGCAAACCCACATAGCCTCCCAGCTCAGGGTCTTCATCTGTAAAAGGGGGTGACCACACTGCCAGGGCACCGTCGGCTCAGATGGCAGCAGAGGCTGTGGGGTCAAACTGGCCCGGGCGTACCTTGAACATGAACCCCGGGGGCAGATCCAAGCGTCCTGCCCCACCGCTGCCCTCCACGGTGCCATTCACTGTCGCTGAAAAGGTCTCTACCACCACGGCAGGGAGAGAGCTCTGAGGGGAGGAAGCACAGTCAGTGTGGTAGGGGAGTGGGTCCCAGAGGGCAGGGGCCACAGGGGCAAGGGAAGGGGAGGGTCTCTGTGACTGATGCCAGATTGGTCTGCCTCCGGGTTCCTCGACGGGAACTATGACCTGGACCAGCACAGAGCAAGGAGCACAGGGAACACACAGGGCTAGGGAGCCACAAGCGGGAGGGCGGGCAGACAGCAGGAAAGAAAAGACAGGGTCTTGGTCCCTGTCGTCTTACGGAGGCTGCTTCACTTGCTGCTGTCTCCCCGGGCTCCTGGGCTCCAGCCGCAGGTCGGGTCCCACCCGCCACCTCGGAGGCCTCTGCTGGCTGCAACACAAATGCCGGCATGGGGTCAGACACGGGACGGATGCTGTGACCAGGACAAGGAAAGGGCCATGGACAGCAGCAGTGTCTAGAGCTGGGCAGTACAGGGAGCTCCTGGAGGAGAGGCTGGGTGCCTGTCACGGGAAGCTGCTGGAGAAGGTGCTGGCAGCACAGAGATGCCAAGTGACGTGCCACACGGGCCCCTGGATGCCGCCCCGACCTTCCCTCACAGGCCCTGTCCTCTAAGGCCAAGGCCTGGCCAGGCCTCAGCTTCTTCCCACCTGCCTGGCCTGCTGGCTGAGCCATGAGACCCCCACGATTGGGGACAGCAACAAGTGCCTGTCCCTGGCCAAACAACTCAGGGCAGGCTGGAGCAGCCTTTGCCCAGCCCTGGACACCTGCTCCCCAAGGAGGGGGCAGCACAGTGTTGGGCACCATGGGGGGAGGGGCCTGGCCAAGGCAGAGTGGACACTGTCCAGCCTCAGTCAGGCTGACCTGGGCCAACACTCACACTCGGCCACTTCCGAGCTCTGGGCACAATCAATCACTCAAGCTTTCTAGCCCCCACTTCCTCATCTGTAAAAGGAGGAAATGTCTAGGTTAGGGTGAAAGTTAAATGAGAAAATTCTGGAAAGTACCTGCCACAAACAGAGAGATGCTCTGAACGCTCCTCCCTCCCACTGCAGGAGGCCTAAGCTGGGACGTTGGGGTGGGGCTGGCAAGGGGGAGAGGGGCCAATCTGGCCTAAATCACAGCGAACAGGAGTGGTAAGCCCCATCCTAGGGGCCTCCTGGTTCACCGCCCTGACCTCACCCTCAGGCCCACAGTGGCCTTGTCCATCCTGTGCCTCCTCCTCCAGGCTCTTCCTCACTGCTACACCCCCAGGGACTGGGGACAACTGGGAGCTGGCAGATGGGCACTTACTTGGGCAGGCCCCGGCTCGGCCGTGTGGCTGGGCCAGGCCACAGCAAAGGTGCCCTCGGCAGCACTGGGCTCCCCGGAAGGCAGGCTGCCAGCTGGACTCTCTGTGGGCTAGTGATGGGCCACCAGGGAGAGCAGGGCGGGAGGGGTGGAAGACCAGGGAGGAGGGGGTGTTGGGCAAGGGCACAAGACAAGAAAAGAGAGTCATGAGCGGCCCAGCGTTGGCAGAGGGGAGACTGGGTGCCTGTGGCGGGCAGCCTGGCCCATCAAGGGACACACGTGGACCCTCTGAAGGGAAAACCACTCCCACCTCCTTGCTCCTACTCCTGACAAAGGGATGAGCAGGCGCAAACGAGCCACACGCAGCTCAGCACCCACCAAAGACCCCTCGCTAAAACGGCTGCCCGTGCCAGGCTTTCCTCTGGCCTCCTCCACAGCAAGGCTATTCAGAGCCTTCAAGCTCCTGGGAGAAGTGCTCCCAGCACTCGCACACAGCGGCTCCTGCTCCTTCAGAAGCTGCATAGTGGTAGTGCAGCCCCACGCCCTCCCTGAGCCTCGTGCCCGAGCCCCCAGGTGATGAGGACACCTGCCCAGCAGGCCTGCTCGCATAAGGGCACCTGGCCTCACCCTGCTTCTCCTGTCCCTCGAGCCACCCTCCTCCTGTCCTCTATCCCAACGTCTCCCCGACGCCGCTGCCCTGTAGGATCCCCACAAACACAAACCTTCTCAAGGACAAAGACCCTCCACCCCAAGGCTGCCCTGCCTCGCAGGCCGCAGCCCAGCAGGAGGACACCACATCCATCCTACAGGGCCACTCACAGACCCCACGACTGAGCCAAACCACAGAGGACCTTCTCTGGCTAAACCGAAGAGCCCCTTCCCCGCAGGGCCTGGCAGAGGGGAAGCAGTGGGACACCTGGAGACAGGCAGTGACGGCCAGCTCCTGCGCACATGAGCACCAGCCCGGGCGTGCGTGTGTGTGCACCTGTGAGCAGGCCAGGTGCAGGACCAGGCAAGGTGGGCCGGGGAGGAGCAGCTCCCCCTGGGGGTGGGCACAGAGCAAACACAGCTTACCTCCCAGAGGTCCCATGGAATTGACTAGGCGCAGCAGAAGGGGAGAAGGACAGAGTTAGTGCAAAGGTTAGTGACAGGGGGCAGACGAGCAGTCCCCAGGGACCCCCACCCCAAGGCCCTGGAGCCCAACGGGCTCAGGGCAGCACGGAGCCAGGCTCCAGGGTCTCCAGGAGGCCAAGTCCTGGACACCTGCCAGGGAGTGCCCAGACACAGAGCCGCTGCCAGGAGAGGGGCAGGAAGCTGACCGAGGCCACAAGTTACCAAGTGAGTGTTTGGCTGACCTTCCTCCCGAGGGCCCTCTCCCTGACACGTGTCTGCTCTTCCCCTCCTCTTGCGCAGGGCCAGGGGGCAATAGGGGGCCAGGGCACCAGGGGAAGGGCAGTGAGTGGGAGGAAAGCCTGTTGACCCCAGGACCCTAAAGGCCTGGTGTCTTAGATGGGCACCCATGGCCAAACATGAGCCCACGGCCCGGCACCCCAGAGACCCGCAGGTCCGCAGGTGGTGGTGGTGGCGGGCTCAGACCAACCTGACCAGAGGGTGTGGGCGCCTTCACGGGGCTCGCCACAGGCGGGAGGGGGTCAAAGTCCAGGTCCAGCAGACTGGCCTGCTCCGAGAAAGGCCCCGGGGCCTCAAACTTGGCAGCAGTGGCAGAGGAGGAAGGCAGTTAGTGACAGGCTGGGAGCACTCCACGGGGAGCTCACGGCAGGCACACACGCTCACGTCCGCCTCACACGTGGGAGCACTGCCCCCACCACGACTCTGGCACGAGCTCCACGCACACAGGACCGCACCCGCCACCCCCCTCAGACATCAGCAGCAGGCCTACTGGGGTAGCCACCCAACAGCCCAGCCCAGCCAGAGGTCTGTCTTGTCCTGCAGACCGCGTGGGCTCCCGGTGCATGCTCCTCTCTGCTCCCCGCACCCACAGACTCTCCCAGCCTCACCCTTGCCCCCCCAGAAGCAGCACAGTCCACCGCCCTCCCTAGGACAGGCCCCCCTCGCTGCCCCACACAGCTCACCTGTGGTGACACCCACCCACCCGCCAGCTCCACAGAGTGAGGACAGGGCTGAGCCAACACACACCGCCTGGGAGCCAAATCTTAGGTGTGGGTTCCCCGACACTGGGGGCACCTGTACTCAAACCGCAGGTCCCACCCCCAGAGACTCCCATTCAGCAGGCCTGAGTGCAGCCCAGGAATGTGCTGGTAACAGGCATGGCCCCAGGAGACTGCCCACGTCCACCTAAAGCCTTGCGTCTAGAAGGACCCAAGACCTGGGTCCTGGGGGAACGGGCTCCCCAGACGGGACTTCACAGCGGAGCTGCGGCCTGTCAGCAGAGACCTGAGACTCTCAGTTCTGAGAACACTAGGTGCCAGCTGTCCCACAGCTCAGGGGACAAGGCACAGACCTCGGAGAGCCCGGGCTGAGTGGTCTCACTTCCTGGACACGGGGCCCCAAGTCCCAAGCCCCTGCCCCAAGCCCACCCCCAGCTAGTGACTTTCCCTAGGTTGATCCCTGTCTAATGAGGCTGGGGTTGGGGCCACTGCTCTGTCCCCATGACCCTGCCCTCTCTAAGTGAGTGAGTGCTCAAGACACCGTGGGTGCAAGGCCTGTAGGTGCCCCACCACCCCTGCCAGCTGGTAGCAGTGTTTCTCTCCCCCAAGTGGCCCTGCCACCAGCTTCTTCTCAGAGGTCACTCAAGCCCAGACAGCTGCCCTCTTGTGCTCCAAGGGGACAGGGGCACCAAAGGGCAGACCACATCCTCCCTCCCTGCCTCCCAGCGAGCCAGCTACCCACCATGCAGGACCACAACTGTCCTCCAGTGCAGGGATGCAGGCTATTCACCTCAGCCCTGCCCAGCAGCCCTGTGAGCACAGCATCACAGACAGCCTGCCCCAGCCCCCAGCAACAGCACCCATGGTGTAGGCTTCCCACCTCCAGGCAGAGACCTGGCTCCCTGGAGTGGGCAGAGGGGGTAGCAAGGAGGCATGCGGTGAGCACAGAGAGGCCAACATGCTCAGTGAGGGCGGTGTGGCTGCCGGGCAGGCCTACAGGGTCCTCGCCTGCTGAATGGGGGCAACAACCCCCTCCTAAGAGCTCAGGTGAAAACCCAACAAGGTCGTGTCAATAAGGGGCTGGCACCATCCCCTACTGAGCGTTTCCTAGCGCTCTGCGTGACCCCGTGTCCCTCATGTGCACCTCTAGGGTGGAGGCCTACTCAGGCTGCTGAGCGCTCCAGCAGCGAGCTGTCCCAGAGGTCATGCCACCCGGTGTCCTCTCCTCTCAGGAGCCCCTGAACCGGCCTTGGTCACCTTCTAGACAGGGGCTCCCAGGCCTGCCGAGCCCAAGCCAGCAAATCACCCACCTGCCCACCCAGCCACCCCATACCGGAAGTTCCTATTTCTAACTCAGAGAACTCTGTCCCAGCTTGAAGCCCACTCAGCCTTAGGCCACTCTTAGCAGAGATCACCATCCTCGGTTCCCAACCGCCTCTCCTTCCACACTCACCCTCTGCCCTGCACCGCCTCCCCCGCCCCCCAACCCCAGGCCTCTGAGCTTGTGCAAAGGAGCGGGCAGGAGGCAGCAACCAGAGGCCCTGGGCAGAGTAGTTCTAGGGCAGCCCTCCAGCACGGGCCAGCCACAGCCTGGGATCAGCAAGCCTGCACCACAGGCGAGGCCGTAGGTAGTGGGAAGGGCCATGGCTTCGAGGCCTGGAGGGCAGGCTTGGAGGGCTGAGCACACGGTGGCCTCTGTGAGCCCATCTGACCTTGTACAGCCCACGTCTGTGCCCCCGCAGTAACCTTCCTGCTCAGCCCTCCTTCTGTCCACCTATGGATGAGCATTACATGCCTTCTCAGGACACTTCCGAGCAGCAGCCCTGCTCCGTGGCCCAAGCACTGTCCCACTCCTAAGGCCAGTCGGCATGTCTGGGAGCTACAGTCTATGTGCCTTGGCCAGACTTTCCAGGGCCTTCCCAACTGTGTTCCCCCCTGCTTCCTCTCACTGCCCCACTGCTGCACTCTGCACGCACTGAACTCTGATCTCCTGAGCCCATGTCCTACCCCTCCTGACATACACACACACTGTTGACTCTGGCTAAAGCAATGTGTCTACTTGCAGCCACCTGGCAAATGTCACCTGCTCCAGGAGGCCTTTCCTGGACTGGCCGGGATCCTCCCTGCTGATGCCTCTTCAGCCATCGCACCAGTGGAAGCATGAGGCCACTACCAAGCTGACCGGCTGCCCGAGGACCACCCGCCTGTGTCCCTGCATCTAGCCACAGTCCATGCTCAGAAATGGATGGGGGAGGATGAACGGAGGGGTGGATGAATGAGCAAGGGGGAGGCTCTGGGCCAACCTCTCAGGCCAGATTCTGGCTCTTGAGGCAGAGGCGCAGGGCGTGGGATGAAGGAAGAAGGCCATGCATGTCCCGAGAGAGTAAGAGAGAGCTGGGCCGCGGTGGCCGCGGCTGACCTGGGAGGGGGTGGTCACGCTGATCTCAGGGACAAACGTGTCATCAAACAGGCTGAGGATCTGCTCCTGCTTGACCTCCTTGGACGGGGTATGTTTGGGAGGTGGAGGGACTGGTGGCCCTTTCCGGAGCTGTGGGTCGGCAGCAGGTGAGGGGCCGCACAGCGAGGCACAGCAGAGCGTGGGGGTGGGGGAGGGGGGACAGACAGAGACAAAGCCATGGTTAGTCACACCCCAGGCCCTGGCCCCACCCAGGCAACTGAGGAAGACAAGAAGGGTCACAGCTGCCTGAGGCGCAGGACCACAGGGCCACCCCTAGAGGGAGACTGAGGCAGGAGGTCCAGAAATGCTGTGCAGAGACAGAGTGGATGACAGAGAAGGGGACAGGAGGGGGAAGAAGTGAAAGGAGAGAGACAGGGAGGGAACAGAAAAGAAGAGGAGAAAGAAGGGAGAGCCCGGGGGCAGGGCGGGGAGGGGGCTGCAGGTCTGGGCTGTCACCCACCTGGGTGAGACACTGAGGAGAGAAGCTGTCGCTGAGAAATAGCTATGACCTGGGCTCTCTGTCCTTTCAGGACCCTCTCTGCATCTCCTGCAGGAGGGGCCCATGCTCTCTTGTCTGTCACCTGTGGAGGTCAGCACGGAGCAGGAGCCAGGGCCCAGCAGAGGGCCAGGCAGGATGGCCACACACCTGCCCATGGAGGGCCTCCAGCAAGTCAGGAACCATGCCCCGCCCCCCAGCCTTGGTTTCCTCACTTGTTGAGGTGGGGTGGGCATCTGCCTCACAGGGTGGCTGTGACGGTTTAATGAATGAAAATGTGGGGAGTGGTGGCATAGTGCTGGGCCCAGAGCAAGTGCTATTCAAGTGTGGGCTCTTGTCACACTCTTCACGTCTAATCAGCTGTGGGGCAGGTCATGGCCAACCACCAAGAAAGCTGCTGCCAGGAGCTGACAGCTGGGAAAGCCTATCAGTTCAGACGGGGCCACAGGCCAGCTCCTGGGGACATGGCAGAAAGCTGGAGGAACCTGGTGAGGGTAGGAGTGGGGGCCAAGCTTCTTGGGGGAGGCTTCTGGAAGCCCAGGGCCTGTGCCCCTTGGCTACCTCATGCTCCCCTCCCCGAGCCCTTTCCCTCGCTGACCCTGTGAAGGTCCTGCATGGCCTCATGCCAAGAGAGAAGGTGAGGAGGACAGAAAGCAATGGCCTCTGCAGATCTGGATGCCCTGGGGCTGAGGGCCCCAAGCCCCTTATAGGGGGGGAAGGAAGATGAGGAGGTCAGCAGCCCCAAGGGTCAGGGAAAGAGGGAAGAAGAGGGTGCTGTGGGGGAGCAGAGGGAGACACACGGTCACAGGCATTCCCAGGTGAAGGCAGGGCCGCTGAGGGGAGCCCAGGCCGGTGTCGGGGAGAGGACTGGGAAGGAGAGAGAAGCAGGAAGAAGAGGGAGCAGGGGAGGGGGCACGGTGCCTACCTGAGACGGGGACTTGGGGAGGGCGGCCCCTGCTGCTGCTGAGCTAGGCGGCTCAGGCTCATGGTTGACTCTGATCTCCGGGGCGGCCGGGGAGCCATCTGGAGGAGGCGAAGGGCTCTTGTCCCCTTTTGCAGGGGCGTTGTCACTGTGGAGGCGAGACGGGGAGAAAGCTCAATGGAGGGAAGTCACTGCGTACAAAGGGGAATGTGCAAATGCACAGGTGTGCCTGTGATGGGATGTGTGCACGGATCCGTGTGGAAATGCATGTGCATGCGCGTATGAGCATGTGTCTGTTAACATGTGAATTGGAGAGCGTGTATGTGTATGTGTTCACATAGATTCACCATGAAAATGCGATGTCCACGTGTGTACGAGTGTGTGTCCCCGTGCTTACAGGTGAGAAGTTCATGTACGCGTGATTCAGAATGGGTGGAAACGAAGGGGTGTGGGCACAGGGCCTGCCTTGGAGACAGTGACGGCCCGGGAGGAACTCCAAGCTGGAGGTCTTCAGTCCTCAGGGAAGCCACCCACAGGCCACCGCTGGGCTCCACCAGGGAGCCGAGCTCCACAGCACGAGAAAGCCAAACATCCTAGAGGCGAATGAGTCTCATCCCACACGTCCTGCAGCAGCCCCTGTGCCCAGCTGGGCCCCCCTCCTCAGCCAGCCCCCAAAGGCCCCGGCCGGCCTCCCCGCCAGTCCACCCACTCACACCAGGACACCGACCACTGCCCGACTCACAGGGCCCATGCTCCCACCCACACCGCGGTCACCATCCACACCTTTGCGCCTACAGGCCCTTTAGGGCAGAGGGCCACAGAGTGGCATCCGGGGGTGAGAGGCTGCGGTCTCTCACATGAGCACCACTTGGGGGCAAGGGGGCAGAAAATGAAAATGTACGTTTGTTCTTGCATAAGGAAACCATGGGACGGTACCGATAAAGACTAGCCACCGGCCGCAGATGGCTGTTGAAGGTTATATTTACATTAAGTGAAACTAAAAGTTCAACTGCTCAGTCACACTGGCCACATTTCAAGTGCTCACCAGCCTCCCAGGGCAAGTGTTGGACAAGGCAGTTCTAGAAGGATCCAAAGAAGCTACTGACCACATCGCCTGGGGGGTGGGGTGGGGCTGGAGGATGGTGTTGAGATGATGGGACAGACATCGTGGTCCCTTCTCATCTCTACTGAATTTGTGTTTCGTGGGAATGTATTTGCCTCCTTAAAGCATACATATAAACATAGTATACACACACACACACACATACACACACACACACACACACACACACACAGATTTTAAAACCCACTACTGTGCTACAAGACCCCCTTCCCCTTCCCCTCTCGCCGAGGCTCCTTTCTGGCTACATTCCTCCCGTTAACCTCCTGGTCTGGGCCACAGCCAGGTGGACGTGCTGTGGCACACAGAGGAACCCACTCAACCGAGTTCAGGCTGTCTGCCCTCCTCATTCCCACCGGATAGCCCCTGAGCCCTCCGACCCCACGACACACACACACAGGCCACAGCACAGCCCTGCTGCCCCGCCGGCTCCCTCCCACAGCAGCCCTGCCCGCAGCACCAAACAGGGGACACAGGTTAGGGGTTAGTGGCACCCTCGGAGCAGGATGCTAGGCGCATGCACAGGGGTCAGCCGGCCAGGTGCCGGCCCCAGACACCCCCACAATGCAGCACTCGGTGCCGGTACCTGTTCTTCTTTCTGAGCAGCCGGGAGAGCAGTTTAGTTTTCTTTCTGTGGGAACGGACGGGACGCAGAGGCCTTCATTTTGGGGAAACGCCCAATTTGAGGCTGGCCTGCTCCCTTTCCTCATCAGCAACCCCTCTGCTCAGAGGGGTGCCAAGGGGCAAAGCCTCCCCTAAAGCTCAAAGGCCATGAAGAGGGCCTGACCCTGCCCTAACCCTAACCCCCATCGCCCAGTCCCAGGAACCCCACTGACCTGGGCATGCGGCCAGGCGCCTTGGAACAGAGCTGACAAAGTGAGAGGGTGCAGCCCTGAACCAGGGCTGACCAGCTGAGGGAGACTGCTGGCCACCCACCCTGCCTGTGGTTCAGCACACGGGGGCTCTGGGGGCCCACAGTGCCTGGAGGGGGGTGCAGCTGGCCGCTGGGAGGCATCTGAGAGGAAGCAACCAGGCTGCAAAATGGGCCACCTTGCAGTGAAGGAGGTTCACAGAGCTCCACTCCCCCCATCCCCTCCATTCCCCTCCCCATCCGCTCACACCAGCCTTCTCCCACAGGAAGACTGGGTCCAGCCGCTGCACTGCCCAGGTGGCCTCCATTCACCACCCTCCTATCTTACCTGTAGGCCCAGCACAGGGAGAGACCCTTCCTCCCTGCAGGGACCTGGCCTTGATTCCCCACCCCTACCCTGCCCCCTGCTCACCCCTTGGCCTCAGGGCCTCCTGTGGGCTCCTTTCTCTCAGTCACACACATTCTGGTTCATTTTCAGAGAGAAGAGGAAGAGCAACATTCCCTGAATAACTCCTTAGTCCTCCATGGCCCCCCAGTTGCCCCAAGACGCAGATAAATGTTCCCCGTTTCACAAAGAGGAAGCTGAGGTCCATCCATACCCTGTGGGCTGTGCTGTCACAGGTGCAAGCCAAAATGGAAGGGAAATCCCAGATGGGCTATCATTTCCCTTGACCCGCAGCCAGAGGGCAAGGCACTTCCCTCCTCCCTCACGGTTTCCCCTCAGGAAGCAGGAATCTCCTCGCAGCTGGAGGGGACCCTGAGAGGCCAGACCAGGCCGAGGACAGGAACAAGGATGATTTTGTGTGTGCCCAGGATGCCACCATCCAGGGACTTGGGCTTTCCCAGGAGCAAGGAAAGGAAAAGGTGGCACTACGCCCCTGCTGGGGGTGGAAGGCTCCCCTTCCAGGTGGCTCCGCACCAGCACGGAAGCTTGGAGTCCCAGGGCCCCACCTCCAAGGCTTCGTAGGCACCCTGGCTGCTGGGCTCCACAGGAAGGGAAGCCAGGCCCAGGCCCAGGCCCAGGCTCAGGTGTCAGGTGACGCTCAGACTGTCCAGGAGTGCTCCTTCTCTGATGCCACACACCAGAGGAATGTGGGGTGCCCTAACCTGTCCCCCTGAGCACAGAGAGGCCAAACCCCCAGGGCGGGGCAGACACAGCCCTGCCCTGGTCTTCCAGGAATGAGCAAGCTCTGCCCCAGGACCCTGCCCCAGACCACACCTCCCTCCACCCCACCCTCAGCCAGACGGCCAGACAGTGCTGGGCTACACGCACCTGGGCTGGGCCTTGACTGTGAACGTGTTGCTCCCGTGCTGCTTCTCCAGGCTAACCAGCACATCGTTGAGGTTCTGGTTGAGCTGCAGGGGGACAGCAAGCAGGTGGGGAGAGCCTCTGGGGCCACCAAACACCTCTGTCTCTCCAGTAACATCCCTGCTCCTCCCCATACCTAACCCCTTCTTGCACCCCGTCCCTTACCAGGAGTAGGGAGCTGGGAATTGCACACCAAACCCAGAAAAACGAAGGGGAAGAACGGAGGGAGTGGGCTACATTACTAATCGTTACTGCTTCTGAGGACCATCCTCTCTCTTCTTTCTACTTGTAGAAATTTCCTAAAATGCCTCATGCAGCTTGTACGGTTTTTAAATGTTTTTAAATTGTTTTTGCAAACTAACTGTTGATTCTAATTGTTAAGGCCATTGTGCCAAGATGTTTTCAGGCCACCCTACAACTGCCAAAGATTTCACTAAAAGCACAGACAGGATAGAAGAGGTTTATCCTGTGTACACAGTGATTCTCACTCCTGAAAAAAATTTCCCTCTTTCGCTTTGACCACTAGGAAGCTCAGAACTGAATTTTCCTCCTACTTTACATAAATGTTTTCTTCCTCCAAACACCTCTTCCCTTTTTAAACTTTTCATAAGTTGTCTCAGATGTTTAAAGGCAGGAAGGAAAAGAATGGGAAGACCTAAAAGGCAGAAATCATAGTCAGGGTGGTGGCTCAGGAAGAGGCCCCAAGCTGCTGCTTCTCCTGCTGCCCTGGGCCTGGACTCCACCGCCATCACTTGGTTCCTTTGGGCCCAAGAGACAGAGTCAGTGACCCCTCGAGTTCACGGAGGGAGGGGCTGCCAACACTGGGTCTCTCCAACTCTGCTTTGTAGTTTAACTGCCAGTTAAAATGAAAATAATACAACATAGGAATTCAAGCTAATCAGACCCCTTCTTACCCCGGATTCTGGCAGATAAAACAGACGCGTTTCAATGTCTTAAGAAACATGAGAAAAAAATTGAGGAATTCTAGGAACTTATTGACTATTTGCCTACGAACGGGGAAAGGGCCAGCATTCTCAGAGCTCCCTGAGCCAGTGTCGCCTGAGAACACACTGAAACCTCAGGAGGGGCTGGTTCCATCCAGGCAGGGAGGATAGGACGGGATGAGGAGGGGGCAAGGGCCAGGCATGTGGGCCCTGCTCACAGCCTCCCCAGCACTCCCACTGGGCCTGGACGCTCTAGAGCAGCGAGCTCCTGGAGGCCAGGACCAGGCGGCTCTCCCCAAGGCCCAGAGGCAGCACTGTGGTTACTAGTGTGCACCAAGCCCCAACAGGAAAAGAGGGAGCTTGGCCGGCCCCGTCCTTGCCTCTGACCCTGGCCCTTGGCAGCAGAGCGTGGCCCAAAGGGGTCACCGGGACCTACCTTACTCATCTCCTTGTGGAAGTTCTCCTCCAGGCCCGCAATGCTCTGGAACGTGTTGACATAGAAGCCTACACGGCTGCGGGAGAGAGGGAGGGAGGGGCAAAGAGAACACACAGGTCAGCGGGCGGCCCAGGAGACACACACACACCGACACACCTCCACCTTCACCAGAGACACCAACCGTGGGAGCGCACAGGGCACAGAGGACAGACATCCTCAGGAGGGAGGCCAAGGCTCAGTGCCACCACCTCTGGGGACTCACCCCTGGGGACTCACCTGTTCCACAGGGACGGCAGCTCTTCCTGTAGGTCCACATTCATCTCCTCAAACACCTTCTGGGCTTTGATGAGCTCCTCCTCTGCCTGAGGGGCAGGACCCATCACTCCCCGCCCCTCTGCCAGGCCTCTGTCCCAGCCAGCTGGGACCGGGCCAGGCCCACCCGCCCCCAAGACCTGCTTGTCCCAACCTCCCATCCCCGAGATCTGCTCCCCCAACCTCCTACCCACTCGCTCAGATCTGTTCCCCCAACCTCCCACCTCCCAAGACCTGCTCCCCCTAACCTCCCAGCCCCAAGATCTGCTCCCCCTAACCTCCCACCCCCATGGTAAAAGGGACACCCCCGCCCCACCCACCCCCACCCCCACCCCCACCCCCGTCAGGCCAAGGTAGGCCAGGAGGGAGAGGAGGAATGAGCAGGGCACAACAAGAAGGCTCCAGACAAGGGGCCCAGAGGCTGGGGCACAGGAAGGTCACAGACCCAGCCCAGCAGGGACCCTGACCACTTACACGTGAACCCTTCTCAGACTAAGTGTCAGCCTGCTGCCCAGCTCCCTTGGCCTTGTCCTTGCTGTCCCTGCCTGAGTACCCCTTTCTCAGGGTAGGCTCCTACTCAGCCCCAGCCCCCAGCCTGCATTTCACCTCCCTGTAGGAGGTGGCAGCAGCATTTCCTCTGTGACCTGTCCCCACCACACAGAGTCCAGAGGCAGCTGCTCAGGCATCCAAGAAGGACAGGGGAAAGATAGGGGTGAGGGCAGGGCCAGGGGAGGAGGGAGCTAGTTTGCCGGGCAGGGTGCCAGGGCTCACCCCCAAAGCCCTCATCCTGGCAGGGCCAGCCCAGCGCCCTCCAGACCCGCTCACACCCACCAGGTGGCGCTAAGGCCCCATCCCAGAGCTGAAGGCGGAGACTGGTGAGAGTGGCAGTGAGTCACAGACCCCAGGCAGAGAAGGGGCTCTGCTAGCTCATTGGGAGGACACTGCTGGAAACAGTGACTCGGGGGTGACTTGGATTCAGAGTCTGAGTCACATCCCAGGAATGCAGCAGGCCCCTCCCCGGGGAACACTCCCCACCAGCAGCCTTACATTCTCAGGCCTCTGGCAAAGGCAGCCACCTGACCAGAGCAACAGACCAGAGCCACAAAGCACACGATTTCCGCAGCCCACCCAGCTGTCCCATCCAGCTCCGGGCCCACTATCCCTGCTGTTCCCTGCCAGCCCAGCCTCGGGGATGGGCGTGAGGCTGGAGGAGTGAGGGACCACCCTGCTCCTGATGACAATTATCTTCATGTTGCTGGAGCTTGCTAGAATAAGCTCCTTGCCTAACTGTTTAAAATCTAACTTAAAAATTAAAGGTGGAATAGGGAAAGAGAGAAAGAAAGAAAGAAAGAAAGAAAGAAAGACAAAAGAAAGACAGAC